AGTGTTTTAGTTGTCTGCTGTTCCTTAGCAGCAACCAAAAATGAGTATTAACATATCTGAAAATGTATTAGACATTAAATATAGGACAATGTCACAAAGGTAATCTGGATGCTATTAAATTGGTTCCTGATACCATATGAGCCCTGTCACCTGCAAAGTTGAATCTGTTCTTGCGGATGACACGGAATTTTTTCTGTATGTACACAAAGAAGACATGCATAAAACGAAAGACCGCGGTTTGCAAAAGTGGATGTGAATGGAAAACCGCGGAAATTTGAAACACACGGCAGGAAAGTGATTGCTGTTATATTATTGTTATAATTATTATTATTATTGCTATTGTTTCTAAGATGTTTTCTGGTTTCTGATGGTGGATGGTTTCTTGGAAACAGAAATAACTTGCGGGATTAATATTACCTTGTGAAATTGCATTTCAATTCTGCGAACATTCGCGAAGACACAGGAATTTGTGAACATATTTTTAATCACCTCTGCACCCCACACCATGTTGCTTATGTAATAGGTCTGTACAGTAATGTTTGTTCTCACTTATGTGCATGAATTGAATTTATCAACTTGTTTTTAGCATTCAGACAGACACAGAAATAAGCACTGAAACAATTCACGTACTGCGTAAACTTCATTTATCGTATTTTGCTCGTCTTGTTGAAATTGCATTCTGTTCTTCCTATAGAATATAATGACGTTTGATTGCCGACTATTTTACCTGCACTGTGTTGATCAGTTCGTAGACGGGACTTTTGTTTGTATCGAATGGATACCATGTAACATAAAATAAAGGACGATCATCACTTGTGAAGCGTACTGTACTTTGGATTATATGGAAAATGACGGCGGAACTCGTGACAATAGTAGTGGCTGTCTGGATTCGTGGTATCCAGGCGACCAGTGCCAACGATCCAGTGTCAGGATCTTTGGTAGGCAAATCTTCCCAGACGAATGCATCCGTGAGCCTCAGCATCTTCATCACGACATTCATCCTGAACCTGCAGCAACGTACAATTTCGCCATGTCAAGAGATATTTCAGTGATATCAAAATAAAATATCTGATACACGTTACTTTCCATTTGAGGTACCAAATTTCATACATAATTAGTAATTAATAAAATTATTAATGAAAGGCAACTCGACATATTGGATAAATGTTAGCAGACTATGCGCATAGGCTCAGTAGAATACGTTAAGAATTCATAAAAAGCGTGAGACAAAACAAAGTTAAGATAAATACAGCTATAATTTCGTAACTTCATTACCTGAGATACAGTTGCAAACAACTTGCACCTGAAAATATTATAAACAACATGGCTGCATCCATTATGTGATCCAAGTCCTCAACATAGTGATATATCTCCAAAAACATGGCGAGAAGCGTGGTGTAAGCACAAATGTAATAAAATAAACTGAATGCGTGGTACAGATTTGAAACAGACGGGTTAAGTAAAGAGACGCCTCCAACGTAAAAATAGTAGAGATAGTAACGAAATCGGCTCTGATATCGAGAATTGTTTTCCATTCTCGTCACAGTAAATGTTAATATATGAATAATTGGATAAGAAATAGAAATATTAAGTTCCTCTCTTTGAGAAGTAATGAACATTACTGGCGTCTGGTGCTGAGAAGTTGTAATTTTAGGTTGGATTTTAATGGTAATGCCCTTTGGAAACTTTTATGACGAAAGGGTAGTTTGTACCAGCAGGTATGCATTATTTATTACTAAATTCCCTCTCCCCTTTACTAATAGATGTGGGACTTCGTTAAACATATTAAGTTCTATATCTATTTTCCGTGTATATAAAGATGAAATTATTCGAAACTGACAAGAGTGTAACTCGATACTGCAATTAATAAATCTATAAAGTTAAGCAGATACTTCTAGCGAGTTGGTAATGTACAAAAATTCTGGAATCCTGGTCACATGAAATAGTTTTTAAAGTGCCGGGGGTATCACATGAAGTCGGAACAATAAATGTATTATTTTCTTGTATACGTTAACGTCTTAATGTACGGACGACATGTTTCAGAGTTTTATTTATAAAATCAATGTTAAATACAAACATGAAAGTCAGAACCTTACAAAACATATCGCGAGGAATTGGAACATTTTCAATATAAATAAACCAAGATACGAACTAAATAATAACAAATACACTATCAGTGTAGTGTCCCATAAACTCATTAGTCACGATATATTAATAAAAATATTTTATTTTCTTGTATACGTTAACGTCTTAGTGTACGGACGACATGTTTAAGAGTTTTATTTATAAAATGAATATTAAATACAAACATGAAAGTCAGAACCTTACAAAGCATATCGGAGGAATTGGAACATTTGCAATATAAATAAACCAGGATACGAACTAAATAATAATAAATACGCCATCAGTGTAGTGTCCCATAAACCCATTAGCCACGATATATTAATAAAAATATTCTCCAATTACACATAGTTCGTAGCAAATTTCAAATTGAGCAAAAACCAACAACAATGGTTATAAAGGATAATCTAAATTGCAGAGGATTTTGCATGCAAATGCTGAAAAAACCACCACTCATTGTAATAGTGACGTCATAACGAAAGAACTACTAAGGAATATTTTCAAATAGGATGATTAAGTTGGGTCCACACAGAACATCCCTATAATTATTTAAAGATTGTGTGATATTATTATGTTTTACTGTGTATGTCGTTTTGTTCTTACGTGTACTCCAGTGAGTTTAATTGATAGGCAATGGATAAACTAGGACTATAAATAAGTCATAACGAAAGAACTACTAAGGAATATTTTCAAATAGGATGATTAAGTTGGGTCCACACAGAACATCCCTATAATTATTTAAAGATTGTGTGATATTATTATGTTTTATTGTGTATATCGTTTTCTTGGTACGTATACTCCAGTGAGTTTAATTGATAGGCAATGGATAAACTAGGACTATAAATAACTTTGGTAGCGGGTAGGAACTCTCTTCGGAGATAGTCCTACTTCAGGGAAGTGAGTGCCCCTGCCTACGCGAACTCCGGGTTCTCCTTGACCCGAGGGGTAGCAACCTGCAAGGGTCCCTCTACCAGGGTCACGGTAGATGGCATAGGGCAGCAGCTATGTCATTGCTGGGGCGAGGCTGTTGAAGAATGACTTCCCTAAAGGCCCGTCACCAGATATTCACAGACGACAATCACATATTGATTGTACCGGTTGTGATACTGCGATGGAGAAGGCAACGGGAAACCACTCCATTATAAATCCCTAGTGCAATCAATCATGGCAGTAGCAGCCAGTAAAGCTCAAATTGCTATGCTGATAGCCAACATCCGGAACGGATAGGCACTTTAAGAAGAAGAAGAAGATAAATAACTATGTATTTATAATAACCACTTAACTTTCGTGGTTACTGTGTATATGCCATGCTGAAATGGTTCTGTGTGAATTACAATTATTTCAATTGTAATGGTAATTTGCAACTCAATTATTTATGAAGGTGAATATGTAGGGGGTTTTAAGTTCTAGGTATTTGATGCTGTTATTTAGATTATTTTAGTTGATTTCAGTGGATGGCAACTATTAGAAATAGATTTCTGCATGCCTGATTTTCATGCCACTTTTTTCACCTTTTATGACTTTATTTTGTTACATTATCTTTGTTGAAAGTTGTTACTGTTCGGTAGAGAATTATATATTGTTTTGGTTAAAATGTCACAGTGTACACAAACTCGACACAACCCTGGGATCGAAAAGTTAACTACGAAAATTGAAGCTGAATTTCTAGGAACTGATTTTTACGGCGTTGAATTCTAATTTGTAACAGGTGTAAGTGCCTTTGATCGTACAAGGGAATTAAGTTTATTTCATTGAAGATGAATAACAGTTTTTGATGTTTGATTTGAAGCTTTCACGGCGGACGTCATTAATAAACTCTTCTCGGACCAGCAGCCCTCAAAACGTCGGAAGATTTTAACAAAATGACGCGGCTGCTGGCCCCTAGAAGATTTTATCAGCACTTTTTTTTGTCAGAAATGTCACATAATAGTATACGAGACCACTCCTTGAGGCTATTTGGTCTCAAAAGAAGGAAAATAAAAGCAGGTTGTGATAATTGTTTTAGAATTTCGGTTTTTTCTTCACTGGCTTCTAAAATTATTTGCACTTATTTGTGTAGTTTAGTTTATTTATTTGTGAATGGTTCAGTAGCTCAAAATATAGAACTTTCAATTACAGATCATTAGTGAATTATGAATTAAAAGGTAATATTCTGGAATTTTCCTGGA